CGTAGTAATCTCCCAGAACTGTCCAAACAGCTGTGAAGGCAAGAGAGAGCTACAGGGGGCACAGCAACAGGGGGCTAAATCTGACCAAAATGAATCTTTTCTGCTTTTCGCTGGTAAGTGTTTTTTTATATGCACCATTTATATCCTCTTTTTTATTTTATTGTATGGAATTCGGGTTTACCCTAAACTTCCTAAGTGTTATACTAATACATTTTAAGGTCTCATAAGAGAGTCCACATCAGGAAAAGGAGGAAGCATGTTTTCATTAAAGAACGTAAGCCGACTGTATTCAGAGGAAGTAATTTACAAAAAAGTATACATTTATCTATAACAATGACTAATTACTTAAAATTTTTATACTGAATTTCTAAGTGGAATATGTAAATAGTATTTTTGAGGAACTATTTTCTTTTTTTTTATTATTGAGTATGAGTTTTTTTTTTCAAAATATGCTGCATTTGGGTTGCTGGTTTTGCTTTGGGACATTCCTAGGAATCAAAATTTCTTCTTTATTGTTTGAGTAATGAATTCTGTTCGATGTTGGTTTGGTTAACCTACCATGAGGCAGCTTTCTGAGTTACACAGCACTGTAAATGCAAGGTACAATAGATTAATCCACTCCTGCAGATGTGCTCATTCAGGGTATAAGCACCTCTCAAATTCTTTTTTACATTATTGCTTTTCTTTTTCTTTAGCCTGAAGTGGATCAGTGGAAGTTAGCAGGTAGTCACAGATATGGAAATACTTTATAACTCTAACCTGCAATTGTGACCATCTGCCAATGCAGAAAATGGATTTCAAAAATAATTTTATTCATTTCTATATGTGTTTACAGCAGGGTATTATGCCTATTCATTGGTTTTTCAAGATGTCTGTGGGAGATCCCTGTCATTTGAGGAAATAAAATGGTTTACTATGATGTTTGTTTTCTTTCCAAATTGCAAAGAAGATTAACATAACTGCTAGAGATGGTGCTGACATAGGTTGTAATACCTAAACAGGAGGCAGTTTAAGTCAAGATAAGGGATTTAATCTTAGAGCATCTTGAAAAATAAAATGCAATTGTGAGTTGTGGCAGGCTGAATCATTGAGTTCAGTTTGCCTGTATAGTCCCAATTTACAAAATAAATGCCAGTGCTCAACTTTGCCTTGTGCCATATAAATCTGACTGGAGAAATCCCATTTCGGGTGATTTAAGTGGTATTGTGCATTCTTCTCTAGTTGCTCTACAAGAGCTATATGAGGTTTACATGAATATACTTCCCATGGAGAGAGGCAGTGTAGCGGCACAGATGATTGTGTTCTGAAATCACTCTAAATGGTACTATAATCAGTATGCTAATGTTTCTATAACATAGCATAGCTCAGCATACTGTGGCATACACTTTGTAATCCTGCTACGAAAGACATATAACCACATAATGAGCATGATTGTCTTTCTCTGTAATATAGGCAAGAAGGCACATACTCAAAAAGGATTGCTTCAAAGCTATGCCTCATGGACTCAATTTGACTGCAACTCTTTTCCATCTTTTAAAGTTATCCTTAAAAAGTTCCTCGCTCAGAAACATATTGGATTAGGCTGAGCCATCATGAACACTAACTAAAATTATGTAAGCATTCCAAAGTTTATATGTGATCAAAATTAATTACTGCTTTGATAAGAAAATGTCCACAAGGTACTTGGGGAAAAAAATCAAAACTATTTTAGGTATTTTTATTCCTTCCTGCGGAATAAATAAATAACGTTATTTAGCGTATGGGCTCTCAACCAGGGTGTTGTGACACCCGACTGTGCTGTTATGAGCTGTGAAAAAGGGGCGGGGTTACAGTTTTTGCCAGGAATTTGTGCATAATTCAAAACATATTTTATCTGTGCCTGTAGGAACGTGAACATATGGGACACAGCATTTTAAAGAAGAGATTTAAAACTACTGATTTAGTGGAACATTTACAGAATTAAAAAGTGGAAGTGGATATAAATATATTGACCTTTAAATCTCTAGGAAGGAGGTGATTTAAAATATTAAGCATCACCTAAAAATTAGCACTAAGGAAAGTCAGTGAAAGAGTTAAACTTCTCTTAAGTGTAGGGGGAAATTGTAAATCTTTTAGTAAATGGGGTTTTTAAGAGAAATATAAAGGCAAACTTAATGAACTACCCATTTTGAACCAAGGATACTATAAATAATCCGTTAAAGGTGATTGCTATTATTTTGGATCTATAAACTCCAAACGGGGTCTATCTTTCAAAAGGGAGGCAGAAATATCCTTTTATGTGTGCCACTCTGAATCCAGAATTTTTCTTAGAGTTTTACATCGTGATGAGGTTTGTAGAAAGCTTGCTCATTAGAAGCAAGGTGATTTTCTTGTTGAGCTCATCATATAGTTACAGAGTTTAATTTGACTTTGTAACCCAATAAGGCTACAAATCAATTATCCCTGAACCATTCCTTCAGTGATTCGAAATGCTGCCTTTATGTTTATTTGGTGTATATATTTTATCCCAATGGTTTATCTCCATCCTTCTCTTTATTACTGTTCTACATACTATTAAGGTAATTCTAACGCCAACTAGATACCTTACTCAGAATACCCTCTCCTTGTCTTTCTTCAAAATGTGGACTTCTAAAGTCTCTGTGCTTCTATATAAATACAGAAGCATCTTATCAAGTTATATGAAAATCTTTGATAGGATTTTGATTAAAATGAATTTGAATTTTACACCTTTAGGGGAAATTGACTTCATTATGAGGTTGAGGCCTCTCATCCGCAAATATGGATAGCTCTTCATTTATTCTAATCTTCTTTCATGGTCTTTAATGATGTTTTATAATTTTCTCTATAAAATTCTTTTTTAAAGAATTTTTTTAAATTTAATTTAATTTATTTTTTTTATACAGCAGGTTCTTATTAGTTATTTTATACATATTAGTGTATATATGTCAATCCCAATCTTTTGCTACCTTTATTGCTAGCAGTCTAAGAATTTTGGTTGCTGTTATTATTTTTTTTCCTAATTTGTTTTTGCTGATTTATAGACACATTATCGATTTTCAGATATTGATACTGCAAATAAGTAGTTTTGCTGAATTTCTAAAATTCTGGTAGTCTGTGGTTTTTAATGCAGATAATCTGTAAGTTTTCCTCTTCTTTAGCAATTATACCATTCTCAGCTTCTCTCTCTCTTTTATAACATTGACAAGTAAAAACACTATAATGGCAGGCATCCTAGTCTTGTTTCTAACATTCATTTAATTACCTTTAATTGCATCTTCCTGAGGTTTTTGATAAATAACTCTAATGAGGTTGAGGAAGTCCTTCTTTTCCCAGTTTGCTGAGATTTTATCAAGGATGAATAATAATAAATCTTTCAAATGCCTTAGAATATTTATTGAAATTATAAGCTTTCTTTTAAACACGTTACAGTATATTTAAATATTGAAACATCTTATATTCCTGTATTAAACACTAACTGGCCATGGTATATTTTAAAATATATTACTGAATTTAATTTTGTTAACACTACATTTAGGATTTCTTAAAACTATAAGTAAAATTAGTTCATAGTTTTCTTGAAATGACGAGAAATATCTGTCATTTTATTTTTCTAGAATTCCTATTAATCTGATGTTGTAATGCCTCAAAACGTCCTCCACACTTTTACCCGAATATTTCATGTGTTTTCTATTTATCCTTTTATGCTGCACCCTGGGTGAACTCCTCAGCATTTGCTAATTCTTTTGAGAGGTCCAGAGTTCATCCCAATTTTTGATTATTTAATACAAATTTCTATGATTATATTATTCATTTTCAAGACTTTTTAATTATTCAGTGTTTGTTTCCTTTCTGCCTGTTTTGGTTTCATCACAGGTTATTTATTTTTAATTGTATATTCCGTTTTTATTTAGCTCTGTGAAGATAATAAATATTTTTCCTGAAATTATTTTTCATCCATTTTATGATTTTAATTTCATCTGGAATGGAAATGGCTTTATTTTCAGATTGTCAATTCAGTTGACTCTCTTTCTCAGCATTCGATCCCTTCCTGTGTTTTGGCTAATGTTGAACGATAACTCTTTTTCTCTTCTCTCTCTGTGTCTCTCTCTGTGTGTCTCTTCTCTGTCGCTCCCTCTCCCACTCCTCTCCCTTTCACCTCCATCCTCCCCTCTCTCTCTCTTCTCTCCTTCCTGGCCTCTTTACATTTCTCCATTTGGTTGTAAGGCATAAATCTCCAGTCTCTCCGAGGCCCCAGTTAAGAACCAAGGCTTACATTGCTGGTCCAGGGATCTCATCCCAAGGTGATATTTGATGTATTACTGATCCATCACTGAGCCAGCTGGCAGCTTGTTTCTGATCTCAGTGTGCCAGCTGCATTGTTGAATTTTGCTTTTCTGACCTACAGCTTCCTAGAAGCAAGAACCCCAGCAGCTATGGGTAGGAGATATTTTCAACCTCTTTTCATAGCTGTGGGTACTGCTGCAGCCCATGGATTTCAGCACAGAGTTTGCTTTATGTGGAGGAAAGCTATTACACATTACACCACCAGGCCCAAGGTCCATCAAGGCTGCCCGTTTGTGGGTGGACAACTAACAGGTCCAAAGCTTAACTTCCATGCACCACTTTGTGCTTCTGTTAGGTTTTTGGTTTCCCTACATGTTTAGGTATTTAGAGCACAAATGTCTTAGAGCTTACTTAAGTCTTTCAAATTTTCCCAATAATTTGCCATGTGTTTGGAGCAGAAGTTACTTGAATTATGGAACTGTAGAACACATTGGTTGAAATTTTTAAAGGTAGACAATGTGAATACAATTCAATCTTAACTTTGCTTGTATCTTAATAAAATATATTTTTAAAGATGAGAACATTTTCAGTGCAACACTCATTGTTTAAAGCAAAAAACTTTTTCATAATCCAGCAGACCTTTGTTTTGATGCCACCATTATCAGCCTCCCCAGTTACTATGTCTAGAAATTTTCAATATATTAAGTGTATACCTCTTTCCCTTAAGGTTGTTTCCAGATGAGGCCATAACTAGACCAATTCTGTCTTAAAAGGAAAAAAAACATAAGAAGCCAATTCAGTTAAGTTTGCTTCCCAAATACAAAGGGGATTTAACACAGAGTTTACAATGGTTTTCAATGCAAACTCATACATTTTAACATTCAATATTCCATGAAAATATAAAAACAAATGAACAATATTATTTATTAAGATAAATACTGTAAACATTAATATGAATGCCTTTATTGTACTTGTGAAATACTTTTGCTGTTTCAAAGCAAACACTGTATTCATTTCATCCTGAGAGTTCCTCTGTAAGGTGGATAAAACTGCAGCTTTACAGTTGAGGAAGCTGAAGTACAACAGATTGTGTTTCTTATACAAGGACATGTACTAATTAGTACTAATTAGTACCCTAATTAGAGGGATACATATAACTAAAACCTATGACCTGACACCCAACACAGTTTATTGGTGTCCAAATAGGTCTTTATTTAGTACCTCGAACTTCATGTCTTCGTCATGCTTCTTGAGAAATTGCCACATTTTGTGCATGGCTCCCCAACACTTAGAGTTTTGTTTGAATTCCTGGCTCTGTAATAAGTGCTAAGAATGCCTCTCTTTACTGTCTTGTTCACTGTTGAACACTGGCATACCATAAACTCGTAATCCCAATGCACGGGATCATTTAGATGGGGTACTGTATAAAGGTGGGTAGATGGTTAGATGACTTTTCAATGAAAATTATCATTTTATTTTTCCTTGACTCAGAAATCTCTTTATTCCAGGAGGGCTCTATGGACAGCTTATATGAGCCAGTCCCAGAACAACAACCTCACCAAGAGGAAACTTCTGGTAGAACTGATTCTCTTTTCTCACCCTCTGGGGAAAATGGAAACTTACACAACAATCTCTTCATGGTGAGTGAACCTTGAATGGATCACCTCTTCTCTATTATATATTTCGAATCACTTGCTTAATGAAATCTGTTAATACAGCAAAAAGACCCTGTTTTCAGAAAGTTCTTCATTTACTTTTAGTTTCTGCTTTGCTCTTCACTGTGTCTCTTACATGATTTTGGCTTATTAGTATGAACTACCATTTACAAAGTATGCATTAGGTGATTATATAACTTAAGTCACTTAACCAAAAGCAACCTTATGACAAAGAAATAATTGTATTGTTTTCTAGATGAGGAAATTGCAGGAGAGAAATACAACATAATTTGTTAAAGACTATAAACCATTAAGTGGTAAATCTGGCAAGTAAATATATATATGCCTGCATCAGCAGTTTACTGGTATACCAGGTTTTTGGGGGGGATGCGGGGAACCTGAGATTTGTATAATAGCCTTTGCCAGTTTCCATGGTGTGAATGCTCCTGCCATGGTTGATTTCAAACTACCAATGGTTTAATTACAGGCTTACAATACCTGAATATTTAATTATTCATTCTCTCTAGTGTCAACTCCAGCACACCTCTGGCTGCTTTAAAGTCTGTGCTAACCACTTTACTGAGCTGCTTCTTAAATTTATGGACACACACCATCAACTTACTTACAAAATATTGAGTATTACTAGAATGCAAAGGCAAATGGTTTTTGTGAATTATATTTATAATTACTAGAGGCATAGAGTTCTCCGTGCTCAGCAAAGTTGACTCTGTTCCTGTTTTACAGTGCGGGCTGTTTTCTTAGTCAGTTGTGCTGTATTTGTGTTAATCCCATTCTAATAAACTTATGTGGCTTCTATTGTGACTTAGGACAATACAAAAGATCCTACGTCTGCAGCAGATAAAGAACTTCTCTATACTTGTAGATATAGATGCCACCTCTTACCCTTGCAATCACACATTTCCCCAATAACAAAATATAATATTAACTACACTAGATGATGTTATATATGAAATTATCTGTGTTGATCCTTACAATAAACCTTTACAGAGGTTCAGAAATGTTGAGAAAGGCTAAATAACTTTCCCAGTTAAAAAGAGGATGACCCAGGCTTCAAACCCAGATATCTTTTTGCTCTAGAGAAAGCGTTAGAGTAAAATACCTTCGAGTTTTGTACTTGCCTGTACAGCTACCAGTTTTATTCTTCAGGGACATTGAAAACTTCTTATTTTCCCAACTTCCAGAATGTTTCTGTTTCCCAGAAACTTAGATCAACTGAAAGGTAATGTACTGTAAGTTAGTAAACAAGTTCAATAATGAGTCTCAGTAAGTAAATATAATTTTAAAAATTTAGTGCAGTGGAAACTCTTCCCTTAACTCTGTATACTTTTTAATACCCAGAAGATATTGATTTTGACAGATACGCTTAAGAGGAAGCAGCAATACATTTTACATCTTAATGTGAGAGACAGAGAGAGTCCATTTACAGTGATACTGTCAATTGACATTGCAAAATGTTTGGAAGCATTTTTACGCTACAATTAAAAAGAAAAATTGAATAGGCTGAAAAGCCTGAAGATATTTCCTTAAACACGTGAGTTTAATAAGTATGCATGAAAAATAAACAAGTTCATGGCCAACCAGTCTAATAGGATTGTTATCAAACTTCATCTACACTGCAAAAATAGATGAGAATAATAAAAACATGATTTAAATTGCTACAGCTCTCTCTCTTTCTGTCTGTATATTTCTGTCTTTCTGCATATATAATTAAATACTGAGGTATATATATATATATACATTTTATATATACATATATAATATATATACTCACTAATTTTAAAATATATACATATATACAAACATAAATGTGTGTGTGTGTATACATATATATATATATATGTACTGAAAAACAACTGGTTCAATTATTGATTATACTATTCAATTGGTGAATTATACCAGTTGTATCAAATTATCATTGATACCTACTTTATTCCTAATTAAAGTGATTCCACAGCTTGGATAAAAGAAGGTTAGTCTTTTAATAATGAAATTTAGTGATTTAGAACTTTCCTCCTGACTTTCCATCTAAGCCTCTGAAGAATGGATGCTTTTTTTCTCCTACTTTCACTCCTCACTTTCCTTTTTTTTTTTTTTTTCAAGGAAAAAAAGATTTGGACCAGTTTTAATAGAATTGGAAATAGATTCTTCTTTTGGATTAATGTTCTGAAAATACTATGAAAACATCCCTAAAGTTAATGGAGTTATTCCTCAAGTTCCGAGAGTCCTCAGCCCAAATGTATTTGTAATTTTAATTTTACTGGAAAGGAGAGGTGCTCTCAAACTTAAACTCTTTACACCCAACCCGACAGCATATCTAGTTGTTACAGTGGAAATTTGTAGCCCATACTAAAAATGTCACTTGCCCCATGAATTGAAAAGAAAAACCAAAATGAAAAAAGAATCCTAGGCTTCTTGGCTTCCCTTAAAGCTATTTTATTTATGCATACTTATTAGGAGTTTGCTATGTGGAAAACACCATGTTAATCAAAATGAGGAGTTACACAGGTGGACGGAAGATGCTCCAGAGTCCCAAAGCAGATGATCAGTTGTGGACCAACTGCACAATTAAGGATGGAGAAGGCATTTAAGGGAAAGAAGTTAATGTTGGGATTTTAAATGAAGAACATCAAAAATATCTACTTTACATTTTAATTGCAGTTCTAGGAGGGGTTGGTAAGGGAGAGCTGGTCTAAAGAGAAATTGATTTAAAATGAGACTTTATTAAATTTCATAAAGATAAATAATAAGAGATCCACTTATAGTATATGGCAAAACCAGAGAGTTTTGGAGGTCTTCTGCCAAAAAAAAAAAAAACTAGCTATAAAGTTTGACAGAGCGAATGATCATGCAACTAAATAAACATGCTGAAAGAAAATAGACTAACATACTAGCCTCACTGGAGATCGACTACTTTATCATTACATTGGTTAAAATGTAGGCTGTTACTCCTTGATCCTCTACCTATTTTAGCACCTCTTTATTATGTCTGAAGCTAATAAAGGATCTTGAATTAGAAAAAAAGTAAGAACATAAAATGTTTGTACCTCTGCCAATTGCGGTTAACAGGATCAAGCCTGAATTATCAGGCTTGCCATCTATATTGATTGAAGTTAGCAAATAATTGTCAATTTTCCACTTCATTTTGTATCTCATAAATTAAATTGGTAAGATATTTGAACCTTTTCAAAAATGAGCTTAAATGTGGAACAGGGGATATGTCTCTATTGTATGTTGCACAAATATTCATTCAATGACTACTGAATGAATGGATCAGTGAAGGTTCATTAATCAAACTAAGGAAAGTCTTAATAATGCAGAATGTATGATGCAGTGTCATACGTGAGCCCTGGAGCTGGGCAGATATGAATTCTCATTCTAGCTCTGCACTTACCAGCTATTTGACTTGGGAAAGTTGCTTAAATTCTCTAGACCTCAGTGTCCTCTTCGTAAAATGAGGAGAACAATCCTAGGTATGGATTCAGCTTAGTTCAGTTTCAGAGAAGAGCATTCCTTCTTGCTACTGAGCACCGGGGTTAGAAGGGCAAATATGTCACTGTAGAGCTGCGGCTAGAACTCCTGCCCCAGGCGGCCTGTGTGTGTACTGCCCATGAGCTAAGAACAGCTTTTACATTAAAGCAATTTTTTTTAAAACAAAAATAGAGAAGACCATGCCATAGAAACTGTATATGGCCCACAGAGCCTAAAATATTTCTATCTGACTTTTCAGGGAAAAAGTTTGCTGACGCAGGGAGTGACATTTTTAAAAAGAGAAACAGGTGGACATTTATTTAATAATGTATTTAAGCAAGTATATCTAAAAGATTATTCTTTCAACATGTAATTATTATAAAAAGTTAATTTTATATATATATATATATATATATATTTTTTTTTTTTTGCCATACGCGAGCCTCTCACTGTTGTGGCCTCTCCCGTTGCGGAGCACAGGCTCCGGACGTGCAGGCTCAGCGGCCATGGCTCACGGGCCCAGCCACTCCGCGGCATGTGGGATCTTCCCGGACCGGGGCACGAACCCGTGTCCCCTGCATCGGCAGGCAGACTCTCAACCACTGCGCCACCAGGGAAGCCCATGGTGTGTATCTTATATATCTCAATTCAGATGCTAAAGTTTCAATGGTTAAAGTGAATCCTGCTCCTAATGAAACAATAAAAATTGTGTATTTTTTGACCCAGCTTCAATTTCGAAATTAAGATTAAATTAAATTAAAATTTAGTTCTTCGATCGGACCAACCAAATATCAATTGCTCAATAGCCACATACCGCCAGAAATGGCTACAATATTGGACAGCATAGAATTAGAGGCTTGAATTTGCTGGTGATGTTGAGGCATCAGAGTAATCAGAAAATATAAATCCCCTACTTTACTTATAAAAGTATATATAAGTATATATATATAAGTATACTTATAAAAGAAATATAAAGTATAAAAATACTTGAAGATAAACAGTTATATACTTTTAGGAAGAGACAAGACCAGAGGGAACAAGTGTATTAACCAATGAGGAGGCTGAGATTAATGACTTGTCTGAAATGAGGGATGGAGTCAAGACTGCAGCTCTGGCTTCCCAAATACTAATGTTCTTTGGCCTTTCTGTCCCAAGCATGTGTGTGTGTGTGTGCTACGCATGTACGTCTATGCAAGACTTAGAGAGAGTAGGAGAGGCTGAGTGTGAGAACATGTTTTGGGGAGATGAGAAGTGAAGAGGAGGGGAAGATAGGAAGATAAAGAATCCAACCTTTTTATATGCACATTAAATACAATCTGATATATATATATATATATATATATATATATGTATGTGTGTATATATAAATATATATGTATATATAGGACATACAGAGAGAACTTGAGATGGGCAATGAAGTTAATAAACTTGAGTTTTATTCCGGCTCCCCAGGTAGCTGAGAACTGTGTATCCTTGAGAATGTTTTTGAACTTCTC